GCTTTTGTTTGCTCATATTCATCCCTCAGTTCCTCAAGGGAGAAAGCCATTATAAATCTTTTCTTGTCTTTTTTCCCTCTTTCTTCTTACTCCAACCAAAATATTCCAAAAGAAAAGTAAGACAATCCCAAAGTCCACAATCCTCAATCAATCCAAGCCAAGCCAAAATTTCCACTTTCTCTTCCAGGGGTAGTATCAGACAAAGGAAAAAAGAAAATCCAAATCTGTGTTTTAAAGCCTTATTAAAATTTTATTTCTGTCTCCAAATCCTTAAGGCATCTCCTCCAACAAAATCCAACCAGATAAATATATTTTTTGTCCTCTCCCTTCCGACTTATCCCATAAAGCTAGTTTTACCTGAAAAAAAATCAGGTTTCTCAATATCCGTTTGTTAATTCCGTCGGGAGGGAGAGTAAACTTTCCTTTCAGCACCTCAGAATTGCCGCTTACTTTCTCTTGTGGAAAGAATCATCCAAAAAGCCATCACTTCCAGGAATTAAATTAAATATATCTCAGAGTCCTGGATCGACCAAGAAGACTTTCACTTTTAAAAACTTTCTCCTCTTCCTCCTGCGCATACTTGCCCAGCTGCCGGCTTCTTTGTGGCGGCCATTACGGACCGCCGCTACGCCGTCTTGGTAAAAGGAGGTTCTACCGGCCAGGGAGGGGGTCTGCAACACCCCCAAACCCTTTTCCGGATCTCCCCTACCTTCAGCTGCCCCTGCAGGGCAGCCTTGCTCCGCACCCTTTCGGATCGGAGCCCCAAAAGCGGCTAGCGCGGCAGGGATCGCGCAGCTTCGCGAATCCCTACCGCTCGCAAAGCCGACAAACCGGAAATCCCTAGAATGTTACATTCTGATGATAACATGAACTTTAAAAGTAGCAGAAGCTCAATAATTAAATAAAGATTCAAATCAAGCATCTCAGGACATATTGTGATTGAACATTAACAATTCATGAGGAAGAAGGCGGAGCATCCTTGCCGACGGACGGTAGATCGCAACTCTCTGCGGCTATCGTTCGTGCTCTTTCGTCGGAGAGCCCCAATCATTTTGATTAGGGGCTGAAACTGCCTTGGAGGGGCAGCGGAGTAAGAGGAAGCAGCAAGCCTGATTGTGGGGAGCCGCATCTCCCCCTCCCCCCCGGCTTGGTTTTTTTTTCCTCCCGAAGATGACTGCAGCAGTGGTCTAAAATGGCCACCCTGAAGAGGACGACTCAGCTGGACTAAGATTTGTGCAGGAGGGAAGAAAGAGGTGGATAACATCTGAACTGGGACAACTGGGCAATATAACTAAACAAAAGTACCCCGGGATTAAGGTAACATAGAATTTTTAAGAAAAGAAAAGTGAGCGGCGAAATTACAAAGGGACAGAGAAAAAAAATATATTTTTGACAGCTAAATGGGGCTTCGAACTGGGAAAGGAAGAAGCTGGAATTAAAGATTTAATAAAATTGGACTAAAATAATTTGGGAATAAACAAGTATAAAACTAAAGCTGGACTTAAGATTGTCAAAGAATAATAATAACAAAGTTTACAAATTGGAGACTGGACTGTACTGGAATATTGAGGTTCGAAAAACCTTAAATAAAAAAATAGGGGAAAAGGGTGAAGACTTTGTATAATGGAGAGTGTCACCTTTTGATAAAAAATTGGCTCAAATAAAAGGGAAAGCATCCTGTTTTTGAATGAACTGGTGTGGATATAACATTACAGAAATATTGAAACAAAGTAAGAATTTTAGAAAGTGAAAGCAGAACCAGAATAAAAGAAAAAGCAAGGAAAGATTGTTTGTGGGACTGATTGACGTTTTTGGTATAAACCCTGGACTGGAATAACTGAGAACCTTAAAAAACTGAAAGAAGAAGGAAAGTAAAAGTGGTTTCTTTTTGTGAACTTTAACGATCATAAAATATAAGAATGATGATATCTCTTCGGGAATTAAAAATGGAACTTAAAAATATGAGAGAATTACTACAGGAAAGAGGCGAATCACTTTGCTCTGTGCTAGAAAAAATGGAAATGGCGATTGAAGAACAAGAAGAAATATTTTCAGAGGAGGAGGAATTGACTCAAGGAGAAGACATTTTAAATAGACAATTAACACAAAGAATGCTACAAAGAAGTGGGGAAAGAAGGAAGGTTAAAAAGTTGAGATTTAAGAAGGCAATTAAAAGAGGGAATACCTGTGAAGTCAGGAAAGGCAGGAAGATTCAGCAGAAAAGGGGAAAGGAAGATATTAAGAAAGAGAGAGATATAAACTGGAATGAGAAAAGATATGGGGAAAAGAGGGGGAGGAG